AACAGAGTTAACCTGAGTAAATTCATGTACTAAATCATAAATAATTTGAAATTATTGCATGACAACCTTTTTCTAATGAAGAAAATGTAACAATTTTTCTTTAGGAAAAAGAAAATAAAAAACTAGGCATTGAGAGGACGCCATTCATCATCAGGGTTTGCCTCACGAACCACGATGGCATATACTGCATAGATCATTCCAGGAACATAACCTAAGAGCGTCAGTATCAAGCAGATGAAGAATTCGCACTGCAATTACATAAATGAAACGAAAAGTTATTAATCAGAATTTAATCCATTGTCGAATAAATCAGAATTTCAGAAGAGAAAAAGAAAAAAGAAAAAAAGATATTGTAACATACACTGCAGCAACCATGTCTAAAGAAGACTCCCAATGGTGGAATGAAGATTGCAAGAAGGATTTCCAAGAAGACTTCACACCTAGATGGCATCTTAATTTAATTTCACCAAACAATTCAAGAAGGAGATACTGCAAAATTGAAATATTTAAGCAAGAAAACAATATATACACACACATAATACGGTATTTAGTTTTGACTAAGTTATAGTATAAAGATCGAGTTTATGCATTGCTAGTATTTAGGCGACAATAACAATCTAATCGTACATGTAGGATCCATATATATTTACCAGTAAGATTATATAAAAAATGTGTTGACGATTAATTTAGAGGTCGTGTTCTAATGTAATTTTCTTGTGGTTCGTCTCGCTTATATATACGTCTAAAGTGTTTTATATCGTCAATCAATTATTTTGTCCATAATATTATATGCACCTAAAAAGGATAAAAATGTCATTGAGTTATTTAGGACATGTTTGGTGTAGATAGTTTGAGAATAGATTTCATGAAAATTGAATTTTTTTCCTGGAGTGTATGTGTTTAAAAAAATAAGGAAAAGTTATGAATCCTTGTTCATAATTATTTTATTAGAAAAATGTGTGATGAAAATGAATTTGAAGAAAATGAATTTAATCCGTGTAAAAAAGGAACTAAATAGAAAAGGAAAGAAAAGAATGCGATGAGATTTAGTCCATGTTTGGTAGGGATTAAAATCTAGATTTTAATATAAATTAAAGTCAATAATTAATTTTAATCACATATTTTATGAAACTCATAATTTTTCAATCACGCATTCACTAACTTTTATCAAAATCTACTAAAAAATTGATCTTAATCACACCAAACAGGGGCTACATATACTAGTAGTCCGGTAGTCCGTGATGTCGAAGGTAAAAAAACAAGTTAAAATAGAAAGTATGTATTTACAGACATTCTTTCCAATGTCGAAAGTCAATTTCAATGTTACTTTCTTGATAAATGGTGAAAAATGGAAAAAATAAAATATCCAATTGAGGCTATTTTTTGTCTTATATTCACTAACATACATGCAACCTTTTAATGTCAAGTAACTTTTTTCTTCCTTCATATGGACAAAAAGAATAACTTACATTGCTCAATGGAAATTCAAAATTATCATTTTCTACCATTACCATGTTCCATGGGGGTAAAAATTAATTTTTTAGTAGATTTTAATAAAAGTTAATGAAATGTGTGGTTAAAAAATTATGGATCCCATGAAATATATAATTTAAATTAATTGTTGTCTTTGATTTAATTAAAAAAATTTAATTTTAATTTCCACCGAATGGAGGCATAGTATTTGAGACTAGGACCACTTGTCTTACCATCCTTGCTTCATCTAATACAACATAGATTGTATCAATATTTCTTTAAAGAGTCGTATTATATAGTAGTGCTATGATGTGTTCGATCTTGATATTAATTTGAAATTTTATGATGTGTGGGGTATGCTACATCTTTATATCACTACAACAAAAATAGTCTACGACAACATTCAAAAAACGTTGCCATAGGTATGCTACATTTTTATATCACTACAACAAAAATAGTCTACGACAACATTCAAAAAACGTTGCCGTAGGTATGCTACATCTTTATATCACTACAACAAAAATAGTCTACGACAACATTCAAAAAACGTTGATGTAGACCTACGGCAACGTTTGGACGTGTGTTGCAAATCGAGGTGTTGCCTTAGAGTAGAGAGATATGGCAACGTTTTTTGAACGTTGTCGAAAGTCTACGGCAACGTTTTTTAAAAAACGTTACTGTAGACATACGGCAACGTTTGGTAAATGTTGCGAAAGACAGCCTACGGCAACGTTTGTCTATCTACGGCAATGTTTGGCAAATGTCGCGAAAGACTGTCTTTTTGCAACGTTTGCCAAACGTTGCCGTAGATAGATATGGCAACGTTTGGCAAATGTTGCGAAAAGACAGTCTTTCGCAACATTTGCCAAACATTGCCGTAGATAGATACGGCAACGTTTGACAAACGTTGCCGTAGATTTTTTTTTTCTTTTGGCAAACGTTGCGAAAATGGGTTTTCTGAAAAACGTTGTCAAAACTCATTTATACTAACCAATGGCAACATTTACTTACTAAAATGTTGTCAAAAACCTTTTAGCAACATTTATCAACAAATGTTGTCTTTTTAATGTTGCGAATGACTCTTTTTGTTGTAGTGTATGCGATATTTTTGAAAAAAATCTTTTTCCAAAGCCGTTCAATTTCTTTTTCATGAATTACACATCTTTCTACTTCGTACAACTTTGGAAACGTATTTCTATTATTTGTACAGTAATAACCTTTTCAAATAAGTGCAATATTAATATTGCTAAGTTTTACGCGCCCTATTTCCAACCTATTCCCGTTTGTACTTTCGTCCATAACTTCATTTTGTTTGATTTCTCAATCCTACTCTTCCATTTTTAGGCACTAGCATATCTAGGAATAGTTTATGATATATTTAAATTATAAGTAGATAAAAATAAGTGACGAAATATTTCGTGCACCCACTTCCAACCTATCTATTTGTACATTTAGTTTCAACCTTTTTTCTTGAATTTTGTGCCTAGCCTTCCATTTTTAAGTGCATTTAGTTTCGGTTTTTCTCCACTATTAGTGCCTGTTTGTCAATCATTATTGAGAAGAAAATTGTGTAATGAATAGTATTTTTTGGAAAATGTGTGGTTGAAATTGAAAGAAACTTTATCGGTTTATGTGTAGAATATTTTATTATTTGAATGTGTGGTAGAAATTGATTACTGTAGAAAACAATTTTTTGAAAAATGGTAGACAATCAGGGCTTAATAAGAAAAGGCCATTTTAGTTCCAAAAATTTCTACGCATCTCCCTTTTATGTGATGAAGTTAGGACTAGATTAAAAAATCTTTTAAGCTAGATTGATATGTTTAAAATAAATAAATAAATAAATAAATAAATAATAATAATAAATTCACATATTTTTTAACATATAAAAAAACAGTAAATGGGCCTTGAGCTTTGGTCCAGGCCGGCCCCCTAAATTCGTCCCTGTCCATACAAGTTCCAACCCATATCTATTTGCTTAATTTGAAAAAAAATGCTTTATTTAGCTAGAGTAGCTTTAAAGAAAGCTAGGCTGGTGTAAAAGATTTTCAAGAAACTTTTTAAACACTAAGTACAATCTATTTTAGAGTGTCGTGGTTAAAAATAAATTCAAAGAGATTCTCTATTATAACTTTTTTAAAATAAAGAGCAAGTTTGAATAGCCAAATTCACTATCTATTCTTAATTAACAATGATTATATTTAATAAGTTATAAATTTCAATAATCGCAATTTAAATTATTCAAATCACATTTAAATTGATTGACAATTAACCTATAAAAAATTATGTTAAACAAAAAATAAGCAAAAATCAATAAATGTTCATCGAAAAAATAAAATAAAGAGTCAAAATAAAGAACACCGTTGGAGCACATAAAAAAATATTCTCTAAATTTCAAGGTACTCTCTATTATGTACCGTATTATTTATAAATTTAGAGATCGGAGATGCTCTAACTTTCTCAAAAATTTGTTTTATAAAAAGGATAAGCAAAAACTGACATAATCGAATGCTTATAGGATCTGTTTGGCATGCCTTTTGAAAAATCAAAATGGGCTTTTGAAACTCAAAAGTTACAATAGCTAAAAGGAGCTTTTAAGACCTAAAAATTATTTTTGGATCCATTTGACTAATTTTATGAAAGTACTTTTTCTAATTAGAATAATTTTTGAAAGGAGGTGTCTAATATCATTTTTTCTAAGGGTCCGTTTGATTGTGAATGTGGAAGACGTGTGGAAAGAAAACGAATTCTAGGGAATTGAGTTGCCTAAAAATTATTTTATTGTGAATTGTAATTAATTGTGTTTGATTTTTATAATTTTCAACCTGCAAAATGTTGAAAGTTTGGTGTCCGTTTGATTTCATTTTTTTATGAAAATTGTCTATTAAAGTGATAATTTTTTTTACCATTGGGTCTAGAATTTGTTCTAATTGCAAAAAAAATAAAAATAAAAAATTACCATACCGAATACCGTTTGTTTGGTTTCGTTTTGCATGGAAATTGTCAACAAAGTGATAAGTTTTTTTACTATTATGTCTAAAATTTTTTCCAATTGCAAAAAAAAAATTAAAAAATTAATTATTTTTTTTCTAAAATAAAGCAATTTCATTTTGTCAAGAAAATGGATTCCCACCACTTTGGCAACACAATCAATTCCTTAAAAACATGGAAAATTGGTTGATGTGACACAAGCAATGAAATGTAATTTCATAGCAAATTTTGTCAATCAAATAAGTCAAAAAGTGAGAAATTGAATTCCTTTTTCATTTTCTTTGAAAAATTAGGCTTATCAAACACAACCTAAAAACATTTCAAAATAGAAAGTTATTTTAAAAATTATTTTTCAAATAAAAAAAACAGAGAAAATTTTTTGACCCCACACTCCTCTCATGCGCTTCGCGACTCACAGAGAGTCACGGAACTTTTCGTTCTTGCACTTTCCCCTATTTTCGCTCGAGACCCACTGCAGAACCCTAAAGATTTGAAATCCCCTTCCGAATACTGAATAATTTTTATTAAAAACCTGAATGGAGTTCAATAATCGAGCAACTGATAGAAAAGCCTCAAATCAATCTCCGGGTTACAATTATTTTCCCGAGCAAGACCTTCGAGGTATGTGAATTTTTAATCTTCTACTCATTAAATTTTCAAGTTCTTCTTCTATACATATGTTCATCCAAGTAAGTTGTGCTTGGATTTGAATGGAATTAATGAAATTCAATCGGCATTGTGGATTTTAGTTAACAATTGAATTTTTTATTTTTTATTTTTTTCTGCATACTTTCCACTGTCAAAAGGTACACAGAGATAGACACGTACAGAGATCAAGTATTTTTGTTCTTCAAATGTTCTGATATGCCGAGTATCATTATATTGAATTCTTTTTAACTTCCCAATTTCAGTTGGAAAGTAAAATTCTATACTGTCGCGAGTTTAAAACTTGTGTTGAATTTTATAGATAAGATGTTGATGAACTGCTGTTTCTTTATGACGTACAAACATAACACTGGTGAAATTTGCACAATTTTATGCATAAGGATTTTGTAAAAATGAAAACTAGGAATGAAAGAATATCAAAGCTGAAAATTATGTAATTATGTTGGAAAGATAAAGTTCCCGTATTTACTTTAAATTTTTTCTATGTCCACTGATCAAGTTTGGATTATTTTTTATCTTGAGTTTTCCTGATCTGCTACTGTCAATATTTTTAATAATTTTTATTTGCAATAGTTTCAGCTGGCTATATGGGTTCATATTCAGGGCGGTTCCATCGTGAGTACCTTCCAGACTATAGTCACCCTCAACCTCAACCTCAACCTCATCCTCATGTTCACCCTCAGTCCCACCATCATCCTTTGCTTCAGCCTCATGACTTGCATGAAGCAATTCAGAGAGAGATTGAAAAACAACGTATCAGAGAGGAGATAATAATATCGGAAATTGAAAGGAGGCGTGTTTTGGAAGCTGAGGTGAGGAGGGAGCTGATGATGGAGAGAGAATTGGCTCTGCGAAGAGGCAAGGATGGGTTTCCATTTGGCCCATCATTGGGAACTGGGTATGACTCTACAATTAGGCTTCCACTTTTGGGGATGAGAAGTGAGGGAAGGTTCCTAGAGGAGAGGGTTACAATGCCACACAATGGGAAGGAGATGCAGAATGGAAGGCATGAGAATGGAAAGCTTGATATCCTACCATTTCAAAGGTGTGCTACTGAACCGAGAAATTCGGAAGTTAAGCCTGTCTCAGAGAGGGGGAAAGAGAAAGAGAGAGTAGTTTTGCTGGTTAGTACTTGTTCCTTGTTCCCACTCCATGTGTTTTTTTTTCTTGTACATGTGATTTTAATTTGGTGGCCTTGAACATGAAATTGTTTTCCTTCGAAAGAAAAAGAAGTTTTGAGGCTGAATAGAGTAAGCGTAATGCAAAAAAGAGTGTTGAGTTTCTATTTTATTAGAATCTGTGTGTGTGGATGCAATGCTTCGTTAAAAATGTTGTGTGCATTGATCCGAGAATCTTTGTAGCCATGTTTCAGTCTGTAAATAATGAAAGGATGGTAGGGGTCAAAGTGACAGATCAAATGTTGATCTCATAAACATCTTTTGAGGGTACTCTTCTCCAAAAGACCAAACTGATTATAGACAGCTAAATTTTCTGAGAACTCTCTCTTTAATTGAAAGGACATAGTAATCATCTCAAAAGTATTAAAATAATACACAACTGATTTAACAAGTGTATTCCTGTTGCTTAATCAAGATATGAAGTCGTATGGCCTTTATAATTAGCCTTCAACTTTTTAATACTTATGATCACGGCTTTACCTTTCTTAAGAATATAATTAGAGAGTTTATGGAAACTGAAGATTGAACGATCCTTTTTGCTGTTATCTACTTATTGTACTTCTCTACTTCTTCATTTGCTGTTGTTGGGAAGTTTGTATAGAGAAGTGGAACTTGAAAATTTTCTTTGGGTAGCTAACGTTTTAATTGCCAAAATTATAAAACCTTTCAAATTCGTTTTCATATATTGTGGAACTGGCCAGGTAGTTTTTAATCCGCAGTGCAATTGGAAAAATTTCATATGGAAGATACTAAGTGCGTGTTTATAAAACTGATATCTGGATATGGTCAACATAAATTTAAGTGGTGAGATTCTTAAGCTACTGGATTCCAAGTAATACTGAAAGTTGTGTTTACAGAGTCTGAATTAAGAACACCCAGCATATTTTCAATTTCCATCACATGCCAACAATTCTTATGTGGTATATGAACTTGTGAGTGCACAAATTTCTGTTGTTTGTACAACATTTATCCTCCTTTTATCGTGATAATAATAGTTAACACACTGATAGCCCTCCACAAAAAATCCATACTTTTTTCTCTCCTATTTTTACTTTTGTGAATGCTATATGTGATTATTGGTAGGTGATAAACTCCATACTTACAACAATTATGTTTCTCAAATAACAAGTTAATTGTTTTTATTTATTCTGTTTAATCCCTTTCTTTTCGCGTTTGGTTAGGGAGGGGGGAATTGGAAGGGGTGGGAGGGCTTTTGGTATATTTACTCAAGTGATGGACCTGTTTTGAGTTTTGTAGGCCAAACCCCATGAATATATACCTGGAGAGAAGAGAAAGGCTGCAACGTCCTCTGTCGTGGATGATGGTGAGCATCAGTCAGCTGCTGTCTCAAGGAAGAAAACTAAAGAAGAGTGGAGTTGTGCTCTCTGTCAGGTTAGTGCCACCAGCGAACAAGCCCTAAAGGACCACATGCAGGGAAAGAAACACAAGTCCAAAGAGGCTGCATTGAGAGCTCAGAGGGCTGGCAAAAACTATACAATTGGTTTTTTTCCAAAGAAACCTGCCTTGTCAGTCACGGTTGTGGGAACTAAAACTCTATGTTCTGAGGAGGGAGTGAAGTCTGCAACTCAATCTTTGCACTTCAATAAGATGGGAGAGACGAGCTCAAAGAAAAATAATATATCACTATTGCAGGAAAACCGAAAACTGGAAAACTTAAAGAATGACCAATTGGAAGTTCAAGAAATGCAAAAGGATGGAAATAGTAAGAAAAAAAAATATAAATTTTGGTGTGAGATGTGCCAGGTAGGAGCCTTCTCTCGTAAGGTCATGAATGCTCATAAGAATGGGAAGAAACATGTGAAACGGCTCCAGGAATATGATCAAAATGGAGCTGCCCCATCCAGCCTGAAGGAGAAGGCTATGGTACGAGTGAATGATAGGGAAAGGGTTACTGCTGATGTTATGAACACAACAGAGGAAAGTATTGGTGAGGCCGAGGATGTGGGGAGCTCAGATGATCACAAGACCGTTGATGCTGCCAATGCAAAAGATCACAATGCCATGGAAATGGCCAAGCCAGAAGGTAATGGGACCATGGTCGCAGCCAAGGCTGATGATAATGAGAACAATGATGCTGTCGAGCAAGAATATAATGAGACCTTGAATGCATCGAAGCCAGAATATACCAAGTACAATGATCCAGTTGAGCCAGAATATACTGAGGCCATGAATGCACCCATGCTAGATGGTAACAAGGCCAATGATGCAGTCCAGATGGAATATAACGAGGCCATGGATGCAACCAAGACAGTTGATAATGAGGTCGATGTTGTAGTCGAGCTGGAATTCAGTGAAGCTGTTATTGCAACCAAGCCAGATGATAATGAGGCAAATGATGCAGTCGAGCCAGAATTTATCCAGGCCATGGATGCAGACAAGCCGGATATTAATGAGGCCGATGGTGAAGTTGAGCCATAAGATGGTGAACTAATTTGATAAGTTGAGCTGTTAGACCACATAATTAACTGAAGTATGAATGCCAATGGGTAGAAAACTAATTTTGCTTGATCCATCTTTCTCCAAATTGAGTGGTCTATTTTCCGATAGTGTCTAGATTTTCCAGGCCTAGTGTAGAGTATTTTCTGCAAGACATTTCAGGAATAAATATTCCTGTTGAAATGATGCAATCATGTTGACAATTGTGTGAATAGTTATTTTTCCCCCTTTTGGTTTTGAAGGTCATTGCAATTTGCAGGTAATGATTCTGAAGGACCTGAAAATTCTAGACATGGATAAAAAATTTCAAACTTCCCACTCTTCTTGGTCCTTATATTTTTGTCAAGTATTTCACTATAATCGATCAAACTTGCATTTTGCCCTATCTTGTTCTACAATTTTGTTATCCCTACCATTCTGGGCATCAAGAAATAAGAATGTAAAATGTTATTGCCAGTTGACGGTTATATGGCCTAATTAAAGATCAGTTGCAGCAAAAAATTGAAAATTGGTTCGACCCATGGAGACTTTAAAAAGACATCAAACACCAGCCTAACCATACCTAAACTCTTGCATAGAGGGCCAAAAAGAGTACTAATTTAATGAGACAAATATGTATGTATATATATCATCAATTGCTTCCAACATGCAAGTATACTGAATTGAAGAACTGAGTATTGCTCTACATGGAAGGAATTACATAAAACTACAGACTAAAAAGAAAGCTGGCAACCGCCGACTTCGAGAAGTAGCGAAAGTTAATCAGCCTCCCAAACGTGCGTTGGTCAAGCCTCGATTGAAACTCAAACTCTCAATGCAACTGGGTCCTGCCATGAAATTTTCCGCTTCCCAACCCGGGTAGTACCTTTGCCAGCATTTCTACACACCGACAATTTAAGGTCATTATGCTGTTCATCGTGTAAATCTCTAACTAAACCTTTTCTTGCATCATCTAGCTTCAAGAGTTCATAATTACTCTGAAAATCCTCATCCCCTGTCTGTAAGAGAACAAACCATTACAAATCGATAATTGAAAATTTGTGATTTATAACAAGAAGATGAATTCAAGGGTCTACCGAAATTTCATTCAAGTCGAAGATTGGAGCTCGGCTTGGCAAACGAGCTTCTTTCCCACTACTATAACGGTTCAAATCAAAAGCTGCAACTGAGTTCCTCGGACCAGTATCATTGGCACCCCACACTCTTTCCTTCTCATTCAAATTAAAGACCAGTGGCGTGTTTCGCATTACAGGTTCTTTCCTAATATTTGTCCTTCCTCTGTTCATATCAGAATTTGGAGTTGAAGCACGTTGAGAATCTTCCTTTTTACCACGCAACTTTTGCTTACGCTCAATATTAATAACTGGTAATGCAGTACGAGCAGCGGCTTCTTTTCCAATATGTTTCCTCTTGGATAGGGAGTCTGGAACTTGTGGAATTTTATTCAGAGAGGCATCTTTTCTGCTGAACATTTGATCCTTCTTTTTCTTTGTAGAATGGTTTACTGCATATGGTGGTGGTGGTGGTACAAGTTGCTGTTCTTGTAGCGAATTCAAACACTTTGATTCGAGAAGATATTTGTGCCTCTTTCGCAAAAACCTGTGGAATAATGAGTCCCCAATTAGCATAAGAATCAGTAAGAGAATGTGGCAAACATGTGAAAGCATGACTCTACCACAAAAGCAAAATGATCACACGTCGTTCAAGAACAAGTATAAGAAAGCATTACTTTACCATTAATTGCTGCAATAGAAAATAAAAGTCATAATTTCTCTCTAATCCAAATAGGCAGACAAAACTGCTGGAAGCACGAGAAGCGGATTAAATCATTGTTTTCACATAAAGATAGCATCAACATTTACAGGCAAAGAAATTAACAATTGCGAATATGTGGACAGCAATTAATGACTGAAAATCATTAGCATACACATCTTCATAATACAGATAAAATTGCATACCGAACTTCAGCTGCCAGTATCTGCTTCCTCTGTTTTGCAGTCTGCAAGTTGTTTCTCATCCCATGGTTTTCCTGAAAAACGATTTTGATTGTAAATTGGTCTAGACAATAAAGGGCTAAAATACAACAAAAGGTATCACAACACAAAGCTGTGTTCATCAATTCATCAAATATCAAAGTAAAGTAGGCATGATCTTCCAGGAAAACGTACCAACAGCCACATATATCAGAACAAGAATTACTAACATACAAGGAAGTATTTAGGGGGCAAATAATTAGATCTAGCAAAATTGTATTCAAAAGGAAATTTTAAGTAAAAATACTTCAAATATTGGGAGAGACCTTAATAGTTGACTGAGAACCTCCCTAATTCATGATTGAAAAACCATATTATGATTAAAAATACCAAATTTTGACAATAAGACAGTGAGAATAACTCGGCAAAGCACAATAACCTTCACCCAGAAAGAGAAGATCTTGCAAGAAAAGATGAAGATGTGTCTTCAACAGAAATCAAATAACAAATTCAAATTAAGAGATCATAAATCCCTTATAATCACAACAAACGTCACGAGGATAATCGTTAAGCAATATATTGAACAACCCCAGAAAACATCACTAAACAACACCATACAAAAGGATTATCTCCGAAATCTAAACGAATAATGTCAAGTAATAAATTACAACCAAGCCAAGAAACAAATGATCGAATAAAACTTCAGATCCTTAACCAAGAAAAACACATCCCACAAAGAAAATACCTTTTGTAGCTCCTGATAGTCTTGCAAGAGGCTCTGATGCTTTAACCTGGCCTTAGTATCCTCATAAACACCACCGTCATAAGATGGCGTTGAATCCAAAGAAACCCCTTTCATCTTCTTAGACATCAGATCAGATCAGATCACAAAATATAAAAAGCCCTTGTTACAAAAAGTTCGAATATTGAATATGGCGATAAGGATGAATATAAAAGAGAGGTGGAGAAGAAATAAAGGCAGGCTTGTATGTGGAGAAAGACAGAGAGAAAGGACAGAAGAAAGGAAAAATATAGATGAAGTGGGAAGTTTCCTTGTTCGCTTTCCTGTTTTCTCTGTGAAAAACTCTGACCAAGACAACAAATTGAAGGCCCAAAAAGCCCACATAAATTGTGGCAAAAATAATAAAAACATTGTTTCTTAACAGGATAGTGAAATTGATGATGAAGATGGGGAGTTTCGAAGGGGTTGCAGAAGGGTATTTGTGGCAACCAATCTTGATTTTTTTTTTTGTTGTGTATGTGTGGGTGTAGCGTGTATGGGTGAGGTAGGTTTAGTTCTACAAAACTTGAATCTTTTTGTTTTTCTTCTACATAAATTTTGGTCCAGCTGGGCCATTAGAGAGTGAGTTGGGTGGATGATTATTCTTGTTTTTCCACTCTTTCTGCTGAATATAGGTACCAATGTGGACATAGAAGAGAGATGTAGGAATAGGAAGGGAAAAAAAAAGGTTAATTTTTATTATTTCTAGAGAGAGAAAGAGGTGATCTTGATGATGATGGGAAGTTGCTGAAAAAGCAAAGATGAGAGGAAGGGATGGGATGCTGTTTCTTGATGTGTTTTGCAGGTACCTTGTTTTTAGGCTTTGGACTTGTGACAGTGATGCCTTCTCTTTTATTTATTGTACTTGGACCCATCTCGTCAAATTACAATTTTACCCTTTCTCGGGACTTCAACTGCAATTTATCCTGTATACTTTAACAGGGATTCAGGATCCAACTATGAATCTTTCTTCTAGATTATTAACCTGCCATGTTCGAGGGTAATTTGGTCATGTTATTTCTTCAATCCAATGCTTCTGCAGTCTGACCTAATTTCTGCAATTTTCTTGACCACCAGCCTAGACTTCAAGATTCATAAAAATGGAAATTACACAAATCCTTACTTTCCTTCAAAAATTAGATGTCAAATTTTAATTCTCAAATATCAAATATTTTATACATAGATATAAATTTTTTTATATTTAATTAAATATTAATAATAATATTAAGAAAATTAATATATATACACCCCACCCTCCCTAAATTAATTTTCAACCCTAAATTCACCTCCCTCTCTCTCATTCCTCTCCCATCCCTCACCTCATTTCCCCCAAACTCATTCTCTCTCTATCTCTCATTTCTCTCGTCGTTGTCCTCTCTCTCCCTCCATTACCTATCGGCAACCGCGGTGATGATGCACCTGGTGAGAGTTGTCGTTTGGGGACGGTGGATCTGAAAATGGAAGCGGTGTTCACGGAGTTCACGGCGTTGATGTGAGGCGCCTCTCTCTCGCTGCTATTCTCTCTCTCTATTCATCGTCAAGACGATTGTGAGTATTTTTAGGGTTTGGGGAGTAGTTTCTTCCTTCTCCTATCAGCTTAGGTTTTAGGTGTGTTTTTGTTGGTGATTGTTGGTTGGTGATGGCGACGGCGGTGTTGGTCGTGGTTTCGGATTTGGATTTGTGATTTTACACTGATTTGATTACTTTTATTTATTGTGGATCTGTGGTTTTGTGGTCGGTGGTGGAGGTGGTTTTTGGAGGTTTTTTAGTTGGTGGTGGTGCGATGGATTTGGTGATGTTGGTGGTGGATATTGGCAGCGGCGAGGTGGTTTTGTGGTGGATTTGGCGCTGTTGGCCAATCTGGTGGCGATCTGCAGTAGCTACATCTGGCCGTGAATGATTTGTGTGGTTGTTGGCGATGGTGGTGGGTCTAATGGCGATGGTGGATTTGGCGATGAATGTGAGTTTTGTGGTGGCTTTTGTGGTGGCGAGCGATTTGGTGGTGGCAGGGGCGCGATTTTATGGTGGTGACGGTTGCTGGAGGTCATGGTGTGGTGGCGACTGTGGCAGTAGCGATGGTGAGGTGGTGATCACAAGTAGAAGTCGGTGGTGGTTACAAAAAAAAAAATCACATAATGGATTAACCGTGACCTTAAAATTTGACAATTTGTGACTAAAAATTAATTTGTGACCAATAAATTTGAAAATATGTCTCATAGATAATTGTGACCTATAATTTTTTTGATACGTGACCTATAAAATTATTGATTTATGACTCGAAATAATCCATGATCTACAAAATTTTTGACATGTGACCGATAAACAAACTATTACCTAACTGTGACCTATAATTTTTTGATCTGTGACCAATAAAATTATATGTGACCAGAATAGTAATCGGAATCGGTTAGTCGCCGGAACGGTCATCGGAATAGTCGTCGAAATCGGAGTAGTCGCCGGAACGATCGCAAGAGCGATAGGGGTGGTGGAGGTGAGGTGGATTAACTACATATATATATAATATCTAATTTTAGAAATTTCAAAGTTGTTTTCTTATTTTTGAAATGGTACGTAGGGTAAATCTGACATATGAATTTTTACTTCATAAAAACTCTAAAAAATCCAAGCCCATTTGACTACATAAAAATTTTAGGAAAATTCTACTTGTACATAATTTTTTACTTAATGTTTTACAGAATTGACAAGTGGCGGCTCCCTAACGGGGTAAAACATTAGGTAAAAAATTATGTACATGTCGCGTAGCTCAAAATTTTATGCATTCGTAGTCCCACGTTCTTAATAAAATAATATCACACGTAAATAAAAAATTATTCCTTCTTTTTAATTATATATTTTAAAAAAATTACTATTTTAAAACACATTTAAAAAAAAAAACTAATTTTAGTAGAGCCCGGGCCCTAATCCACCATTTAAAGGGTATTGCAATAATGACAGCTGTGGCAAAAATTTTTAAATGAAAATGAGCATTTAAAAATAGATCAGCAGACGAAGAGAGGTGTGTTTCTTGAAATTTGGGTTTCTTATGTAACAATTTTGCGAGTTAACTGTCCCAATGGTAAATGAATGTGTCTTCGATTACTCGTTAAAGTTTTAGATGTCAAGTTTTGAATCTTGATCATTAAATTTATTCAAATGTTGGACATTACTCACTAATAAAATGTATATTTCAAATTTTGAATAGAATTAGTGACGTGATTAACGGAATGCACACGTGACACCTCGTCATGCCCCTAATAAATTGCTACGCCTTTAGTTGCTCACCGAAGTTTGAAAAAATCTTCGATTGCTCACTGAACTTTGATGTGGTCGAATTTTAGCCACTAAACTTATAAAAATGATGTCGACCCGTTCTTCGTTAAAAAATGTCTATCGCAAGCATGCAGTGTCGCGTAAAAGTAATAAAGTGGACACACAAGTTCGTGTTGTCAATCTCACGAGAAATGATTACGCAATCACACAATAGTTAAATTTAATTTTAACATATTTTTGTAGAATTTTAAGTTATTTTCATCATTTAAAAATTATAAGAAATATATATATTTCTAATAAATATAAGTGCTTCTGAATTGATCTCATATTTTAAGAATTTTCGTTTCTCAAATTATTGTGTGTTTCGTTGTTAAAATGAAATTAAAATAAAATTTAGATTTTGCAACTAAACACACAATAAATTTGATTAAATGGATTTTGCAACGCAATAGATAATAAATTTAATTAAAATTTGAATTTTGTAACCAAACACATAATAAATTTAGTTAAACGAGTTTTGCTAAGAAACATACAATAAACTTAAAATTAATAATGAAATACCCAATGAATTTGAATTTTTCAAATGATGAAAATAACTTATATTTCTAAAAAAAAATATTAAAATTAAAATTTAACTATTGTATAATTGAGTAATCTCATGGGATCAACTATATGGACACATTTGCCCACTTCATTATTTTTACGTGATCTGTGCGCATGTAGTACACATTTTTAATGAACAATAGGTGACGTCATTTTTATAAGTTTAGTGATCAAAATTCGACCTTCTTAAAAGTCAATGAACAATTGATAACGTTTTTCAAAATCTAGTGAACAATAGAAGACGTAGAAATTTATTAACGACGTGATGAAGCGTCACGTGTACATTTCGTTAATCACGTCACTAATTCTGTTAAAGGTTTGAAACGAATGTTATTTCAATAAGTAACGTCCAACGTTTGAATAAATTTAGTGGCCAAAACTAAATATCTCAAATTTCAATGAGCAATCGAAGATTGAGACATAAGTTCAGTGAGGACAATTAACTCTAATTTTGTCGGTCATATATCTTAACCCTACACTCTTCCTATGAGAGAGAGAGAGAGGTCTATGCCATTGGCTTTTGGTTAGGCTATTGAGTCCCTTTATTTTTCTTCTAAGGATCAGTTACACAGAACTTTTAAAAATGTAAAAAAAAGTTTTATAGATATGATATAGAGAATATTATGAAGTTTTTCTACAAAAAATAGAAAAACTGTCAAATGGGGAAAAATTATTTTCAACTACATAATTAGACGACCGAAGATTAGATTGAGGGTAAACCAATTAATTTTGTTTATTTTTCTTTGGTTTATCTTCTTGATGATAGGAATTCCATCTACATATTGGTTTTGTCTTCGAATAGTCTACCAAACCATACAGCACGCAGGAAAAATTCATATGCACCATAATTCCATGTGTTTAATTGAGAATATTCGGCCACCATAATTTCTTATGCCATTTCGAAAGATATAAACGTGTCATGAAATTCTCTTTTTCCTCACTTATAGGTAAAGTTATCCATTCAAAAACGAGGTTAAAATTGCACGTGTTGGAATAATGGAGTCACTTGACACAAACAATTTTTATTTAAATTTTTTTATTCTTATGAGGCTCGACTTAAATTCATTTTTATTCGTGAACGTGTGACAGACAACAAGATAGTTCATTGCCCTATTCAATATCCCTACTTGTCTCACAAGGAGTTTCGATAACAATAAAATGGAAGAGGCCAACAATTTCAACACGTTTGGTAGCAAAATGTGTAGCAGAAATTATGC